TCCGTGGGATTCGAACTCTAGACCTGCCGCTTGGGGGTGCAGCAACCCCACCACTTCACTAGGTCGCCACACCCTTAATTAATATTTATTAAAATTTTATTATATATTTATTTATATATAAAAGAAAAATTGGCTTAAATATTGCTAATTCTTTAATTTTAGGCCATACAAATTTAATTACTTGGTTTATATAAGATGAAATTTTTAAATAGACCTAGCTGGCCAGCTTTTTTTTTAATTTTCATATATAAAATTTTATAAAAAAAAAATTTAAAACCTCCCAGGCGGACTACTTAAATTAGGTATCAAAAGTATACGTGTGGCTAGTTGTATCCTCGTGAAATTGATGTAATATCATAATTATCTGAATAAAGCTAAGTGCCGGGACCTAAGTGGACACCTTAATATTTAAAAAAAAAAAAAAAAAAAAATTTAAAACCTACCTGGTTATTAAAATATATAAAAAAATTTTTTAGAAGTTTTCAAATTTTGATCTGGCCAGATTATAAAAATCAATTCATTAATTTTGCATAGTCTTACTATAAATTTTTTTTTATAAAATAAGGATTAATTTAGAATTAACTGGTGATGAAATTCACCAGCCTAAGAATTTTTAGGGTTAGGGTTAGGATATTAAGAATTATTTGTTTATTATATAAAATAATATAAAGCTAATATAAAGCCCATTTTTAGTTTTTATAAAGTTTTTAGAAGTTCTAAACATTTTTACTTAGAGTACCTGATCCCATTTAATTAGTATATTTTCGAGGTACAGCACCTTGGTGAATTTCACCTCTGGAAAGTATTAAAATCATCCATAAAATAATAAAACTTTTATAATAAAAGTTGTTTATAATAACTTAATCCATAATTTGTATTAAAATTATTGATATATATTATTAAAATTTTATAAAATTTGTTAATAGTTAAGAGTGTGGCGACTTAGTGAAGTGGTGGAGTTGTCACACCTCCAAATGGCAGATCTAGAGTTTGAATCCCACGGATGACGATTTTGAAAAAACTAGATCTGTATCGGTTAACATTAAGATTATCAGTTGGATCCAAATATCTGTAATCTTGGTCACACCATCTTAAATGGGAGCTTTGGCACAATAAATCCAGAAAACTGGAATTACTGAAAACCCGTTTGGCAAGTCCCAAGTTGGGAGTAGCAGTGATCTTTGATGGTGCTACAGGAAGACTGAATTTGGAACCGGAAACCGGAGAACCAAGCGATCAGGTCCTTAAGTGGGGAAACACACTAGCTGAACCACCGGCTCACCACCGGAGGAAAAAGACTTGTGCTTCGGAAGCATGTATCAAGGGGAGGAGACCGTAAGGCACCTAGAGCCTGGGCAGACCAACTCTTCCAAGTTGCCAGCTGGAAGTAAGGGAGGGACCGATAAGGAATCCAGGAAAGAAGGAAGTTGGAACATGAGTACTGGGGTTGTTGTGAATCTTGCAAGGGCAGGAGTATATAAGTGGAAACTAATTAGGAAGGTTGTGGCTCGAGATACGAATCGGGTTATAGCAGTATCCGAAACGATAGCTTGAGATACGGACCCGATAGTGGCAGCACAACATATACTAGTTGGGAAAAAGTTACTGAGCATGCAGGTGAGTACATGTGTGGGACATGTACCATTCTGTTAGGTTTATTACAAGAATAAATACCTATATGGCTAAAGTCTTAGGGTTCTTATACGGCATTGCTAATCTCATTAAGAGTGTTAGGGTAAAGTGTGTTACAGAAATGGATCCAGAGAATTTAAATGGATATCTCCTATAGTTGGGTGCAGGTATGGTAGCTAGTGTGAAATCTAGAGCAGACTACTTAAATAGATAACCAAAAGTTGCATATATAACTAGTTGTACTCTCGTTAGTTAAATAATTAGAGAGCTTAAATAGGTAATCACCTAGTTAGGTTGCAGGTATGGCGGCTAGTATAGAACCCAGGCGGACTACTTAAATTAGGTACCAAAAGTATATGTGTAGCTAGTTGTATCCTCGTGAAATTGATGTAATATCATATTTATCTGAATAAAGCTAAGTGCTGGGGACCTAAGTGGTCACCTTAATATAAAAAAAAAAAGTTTTCTGTAATCAGCCCAAATTTTCTGTAGTTACACAGAATCATTAATTTTGATTGGTTTATGTCATATGATCATCATATAATTTTTATAAACAATTTATAATACTTAATATTTAAACACATGTATCTTGACAAATATTTAACCAATTTTAATGATTTTACTACTGTTAGAATTAGAAAAATCTGCTCTAAAACCTTTATTAGAAATTTAAAATTAGTTTACTTAATAAAATTTTCTTTAATTTTAAAAAGAAAAAAATATTGCCATTAGTTTTATATATAATTTGCAAATAGTATACTCTACCCTTAAAAAATAAGCACAAATTATGTTAATAGGCGGCTGCGATTTCATTAGTAAAATTATGAGTAATTCCGGCTTAATTTTTTCAGCCAATCAAAATCGAGGATCTGCCGCGCATTTTTTGTGCGGCACCTATGTTCAATATTTGTTATACGTACTGTGCATGCTATTTGTAGTAATTAACATAATTAATATATCACGAGTTGGTACAAGCATACAGTATTTATTTATAAAATAAAATAAAATAAATAAATAAAAAAACATTCGGATCTCGATAATCGTTAGACACTTTGGAAGTTAAATTTTGTCTTTTTATTATCTTAAGAAGATATGCTTTAAAATTCGTTTCATTATTTGAGAAATCATGTGTTAGAAACAGGCATCTATGCAATTAATTGGATAGCAAAATGCATTTCTAATTTGTAATAATTTTAGTGCAACGTTGCTAACCCTGCAAAAATGACCCAAATAAAATAATTCTATGCATCACAATACAAAGAAACTCGCACAGCTGACGAGCATATAAACATTAATTATTATACTATAACCTTTTTAGTTCTTAATATTATCTTGTGGGCACTAAAGGCAATGGCAAATCTTTCCTAGTACAGTCTTACTGAGAATAAGTGTAACACATATAGCATAATTTTAAAGATTATCTTTGTTCATTTTTGGTTAGTCACATGCGTCATCATTAAAATGAGAAAACATAACAATGAGTACGTACGCGATATGTAATACCAAATCAATAGCCTCATTCAACGAGAATAAAAATATTCATTGATTTTTATTTTGGAAATGATAATTAACCTTATGTCAGTCATTCTACTGATGAGTATTCCATTCGGTGTATTTTCAATGGATTTATCGTGTAATATTGTTGTACAAAATCCTATTTTCAGATCTCTTGCGTACAAAAATTACAATGATATAAGAGATAAAAAAAAAAAAAAAAAAGGGAAATTATATTCCTATCGAGTTAAAATTGGCAAATAAACCGCTTATTAAATTATCCTTAGATATTTTATAGGTTTTTGTGTTATTTGAAAAAAACAAATAGTAATGCAAGAACGGTATTTCGAAAAAAAGCCTACTCTATCTTAACTACTAATCTCTTTTTTCATTAGTTTGATATTTCTCAGTTTAAAGGTAAAAAAATTTACAAGTTATAATTGATTTAAGAAAAAAAATTTTATGTTAGTAAAAGTCATTAAAAACTAAATTTGTCATTGTATTTAAAAGTTTTTAAAAAATTAAACGAATAATACGATTCTTATACATATACCTGTATCATTAAAGCGTGAGTATTTTAGTCTTGAACTTTTTGAAAATGAATTGGATTATGATTATTTTGATTTTTTGCTAATAAATAATAAAGCATATGTGTACATACCGTATTATTAGAACTTAGTATTTTAAATCTAACGCTCACGATCTAAATAATCAACATATGGGCCGATAGTGATAGACTGAAATTCAAACCAATTCTATAAATTTGGTCAAATCAGTGTTAAATTCATAATTTTTATTATATATATATGATGTCAATATGTATTAACGTCAATAAACTTTAGTTTATTGGTTATTTATCCCATTCAGTCTATAGTACCTATATACTATACTTCAATAACCCAAAAGCGTATTACAGCATATAGTTGAGAATTTTAATGTTTTAGAAAAATTGGTTATTTTGTTTTACCAATTTTTCATCTTGTAGTGTAGAAATGTTTTTTTTTTTACAACATAATCTTAATTTCGAATTCACTTAGATGCTTACAATGATGTATTAACGTTAAAATGATTCAAACCTCTAAAAAAAAAAACTCTATTATAGATGAATCACGTGTTTATGAACACTTCTATATTATTGGATTCCCACAAAAATTTTTCCTCCACGTGATTTTTCTTCGTTCAAAGATAATTAAGAAACTAAAGGTATTCTTATAAAAATTGTCTCAGGAATAACTCAAAACAAACATCTTAAACTCTGATTAATCAATCATATTTTAAGCTACTCCCAGTCTAGGATAAAATTGTAAACCCTCGATCTACGTTAAAGGTCCTCTTTTCGTTTTTTTTTCAAAAAGTTTATTTTTGGGAACTCTCGTTTTCTTTTCTTTTACATCTGCCTGTATGGGTTTAACATTCCTCGGCCTTCTTTCTTTCTTCTTGATTATTTTATTCTTGAGGATTCTCGGTTTTCTTTCCCTTTTTTCGAATGATTCATTACTAAGACGTCTCTTCTTCCTTTCTCTCGTTTCCATTAATTCTTTATTTGAATTCTTCGTTTCAACTCTTTTAACTATATTAATTTTTGTCTTTTTTCCTTTTTTATCTAATGGTTCTTCAACACCTCTCTTCTTTCTTTCTTTCTTTTCTTGTTCTTTATTATTTGTTTCGACCGATTTACTTTTCAAAAGTCTCGTGGCCGTTGTTCTTTCAATATTTGATAATTCTATGTCAACAAGTTTAACCCATTCATCGCAGGTTCCTTCTATTTGATAATCAATTAACCCATTCCATTCTTTAGTAACTACATCTGTAGCATTCACTAATATCACATAACCTTCACGATCATGGACAGCTCTAGCAAAGTCTTTTATAAGAGCTTTTACACCAGGAATTCTTAAAGATGTTCCCATTATTACCAAACAATCCGCTTTATCCTGATCTTGTGCGGCAATTTGACAAATTTCTAATCCTTTAGGATGTGAATCACCGTAAAGAATTACTGTAGGTTTCAATTGTCCAATAGTATGAGGTCGTCTACCTTGTTCGATTCTAGCGTCCTCTATTTTTTGAAGTATGAATAATTAATAATTAATCAACTTTTTCGCCAAAATCCACGTTTATTTATCAATTTAAAATATAATTGATAAAAGAAAAAATTTAAATAAATTATTATATTAAAAGTTCGTTTCTTTCGCGTTTTCTCGTGATATTTACCTCTCTCTTCACATCCGGGACAATTTGGCGCCTCACCTTGCTTAAAAACGTCACAATACTGCGTTGCAAAAGAATAATTATTTGTACAAGCGCTACATCGTAATTTCGACATAGTTCCATGTAGTTGAACTACTTGAGCTTGACAATGTTTAACTCTTTCAAGTTGCCAATCCACTTCTAATCCAACTAATTCTTCGAGATTATCTATATTTTGTGTATATACTCTTTTTAATTTCTTCATATCAGCTAATTTTTTTATAAAAAAATGAGTGGCTGTAGGTGTAGCATTTACAATCAACTCTTTTAAAACGCCCATAAAAAGATAAAATGCTTTAATAGATTCGTGAGTTCTAAGTAAGCCAGCGTCAAATAAATCTTTGCCTGAACGAAAAGTACCCGGATATTGACTTTTTATCATGCTATAGAGACCGTCTGAACTACTAAAATCCTATTGGTAATAAAATTATAAGGAAAAAAGGGGAAATATAGTTTAAAAATTAAGCCTATTACCACTAAAGGTTAAGGCTAACTAACTTAACTAACGAAAAACGCGTTGAAAATCCCGAGAAGAAATTTAATTTCATCTAAATTAGTCAAGGGTTACTTACAGGTATTCCACCACTACAGGAAATACCGGCACCCGTAATTATAATACACCGTTTAGCGCGTGCGACGTGTCTAGCTACTTCACGAAGTAGAGGAGTACTTTTTTCAGACCTAAGATTTAGTTTGACTACCTCCATTAAGTTTAAAATGAGCAAGGAATAAAAAATTTTTTTGTTTTGGTAGTCGTTCGGGAAGGATAACACTTTCTCTCGGGGTAAAAAGGAGACGAACCAATTACCAAATTTATTGGTATGTATATAGTATATATTTGATTTATTGATTTAAAATAAATGAAATTATTTAGTAGGTCAATGAACCCCCGAAACACAAAAATCGTGTGTAAAATCTGGGAATAGCAATTCCAAAGTAATACGGACTATGAAGGAGCGACGATTTTTTTATTCAATGCAGGCTTGTTAAATGGGTAGGAGCAATCAGTAGTTTTAGATTTTCAGTTATTTTATGATTTATAGTCACACACAGTCAACATTATGACATACATGTAATTTATGAGTTATACAACTCATTCTTAAAGACTTCTAAAATTTCCTTTTCATAATCTAATGATCTTCAAAGCACACCCATTCAATTATTAGAAATCTTTTTAACAACAACCAAATTTCAATAATGCTTGGGAGAAAGTCATTTCCAAATAAGAGTGAAGGCTTATGGGAATGCACATATGTTTCCGTGTAACTCGTTATAAATGCCTATTGGCTATAAGAAAAAAATGCCCATGCTATAACAGTCTGTTTATATGTATTATTGATTAATAGATAGTACAAGGTGCAGAAAGTAAATGACACACATAACTTTTTTTTTTTTATTTTGCTTCAGAAAAAAAAAAAAATTTAAAAATAAAAAAAAAATTGTGTGACATTTTAATGCAACATTAGATCAAGCAAAAGTAGCACCTCCTAATATGAAAATGTCTATGCGATGAAAAATGTGTGTAAACTTTGATAAACTAAAAATTCGGAAAATATTAAACCCCAACCCGAAATCAAAAATAAGAAAAAAAAATAAGAAAATAAAAATAAAATAATCCTATCTAATGAAAAATGAAATAATGACGATAATTTTTTAGTGCAGTGTACAAAACTTTTCAGCTGCAACATTAAGTGGAAAATTGAACAAAACTTCATGCCTTTTTAGCTATCAATAGATCTTCAAATAAATTGATCTCATTTACGTAACTCCTGTTTTACACCATTTTCTGTTAAGATGTGTGTTAAAGATTCTGGTCCAGAACCATTTTGTTGAGATTCTTGTGCCTGTGAAGAATTATTTTCATTATCCTTCTTTTCTTGTCGTTCCATTTCCGCAATTTCAGCTGCGGTGAGGAAGCGACCACCCGGCCCACGAGGTCGACGCATTGCGTGCTTGTGACGAGATTCGTGGAGATATTTCTGTTACACAAAAATAGGTGGGAAATTGTTTAGTAACAAGTTTATCATTTTTATAAAAGAATTGAAAATTCTCGAACCTTTCGACCCCTCTGTATTTTATTTTCTGCTTCCAATTTTGCTCTAGCCGCTCGTCTTTTCAAAATTCGGTGATACTATTTATAAACGAATGTAAATCTCTAATAAGTAAATTTTAAAATCTATTTCATCAAAAATATAAAGAAATAAAATTATCTTTTACTTGTTTAGCATTCACATAGAGCGGTTCTTCTTGTTCTTCGATGCCTGATGATGCAGTAGGGGGAGTACTGGTGGCACCAAGAACAAACGGGTTCGCAGGGCTCATAATCTATAAAACATTGTATTAAAAACATATTTAACCATTTTATATTTTATGTTTTCACATATTTAACATAAATTATCATGAAATATTTTATTTTATTTTATTTACCAGGCCGTACGGTTGGCTGTAGGCAACACTTTGGAAAGCGCCTGATGTTTTTGTCGGATCAGATTGAAGGGCCTACGTAATATTTAATAAAGGATTATAAAAGATTTTAGTTTTTCAACAAAAAAAAACTATCGCCAGTAAGAACTCACCGGATCAACAACTACTGCATTCGTATGAGTAAGATTTGCGTAGGAAGCTGCAATATCATACTGTGCATGTTGCTGTTCTTGTGGGTTCTGTTGCTGTTGTTCAGTCTCTTGTTGGTTATTAGATGGTGCCTCTGTAGGTCCCTCACTTTTTTCACTAGGTTGCTCCTTTATATCCATTTATTACAACGATGCTCACTGAGTACTAAATAAGAAAATGGTTTGAAAATGGTTTAAATGTGGTAGGATGGTAGGGGGCTGCATTACGTTAGCAAGAAAGTGGTTAATATAATGAAAAGGTCAATGGTATTGTAAAGGTAAATATGAATGTTTCAACGTTTGCTTTGAAAACTCCGACAACTGGTTCAAGAAAAAATTTTCAGAAGCTTCACTTTAGGAGTTTACTTAGTGGTCTGCTTTAGTTTACCTGCTTGTGTTGGTATTGGTCGTTTCTAGTCCAATAAGAAGTTGAGAGTCAAACGAGAATGTTAAATTGTAATGATAAGTGTTGGATTGGAGGATGATTTGCTGACCTGACCAGTATATTTATATGGCTATAACCCCCTTTAGCCAGTAATCACAAAAAGGAAATTATTCACGTGATAAATGTGGTTTATACTTACACCGCAGCATGTGGAAGTCACACGAAATTTCACCTATCGGAATTAGCCTTGATTGGTTTATGTTGACAAAGACGAGGCTGTGATCATCCATATGGTAATTTTATACAAATACAAAAAGGTGCTAGCTGCTAAGCCCCTACATTCAAATTTTCTTAGCATCACAGTACGGTTTCGGTAAAATTTAGCCACCTAAGAAGACTGCTTTAATCTGCTGTGTTGCATGACTTCTAGATAAAATTGCTGCCGAATTAAGTCATTAAGCCTCATATTTAACCACCTATCTCTATCGCTATATGAAGTTTCATGCTAATATTAACCCCGGATCTTCGGTTTTATGCAATACTGCAATAATGCAAAATTTTGAGAATAAACTATATTCGGAAATTTTGAGAATTTCCGTTAACTTTTCTTTAATAAAACATTATGGTCACATGTTAATTCATTGATATTAGAACGAAGCTCGTGGCTATTTTCTCTGGGATTATATACCCATTTTTCAAATCAGAATTGTTTTCGATCAAATCTTTATTTTTATAATTACTAATGGTTTAATTCTACCGGTACAACTTGTTATGCTGATCTGGTAACTAATTTTAGCATGTTTAATTCGCAATTTTTTATAAAAAAATTTATTTACACGTAGTGTTTATACACGGGTACTAATTTATTGATTTACAAATTTATATAACATACTGTATAAATTTTAAGACAAAAATTAACCCGGTTTAAGATTAGAGTCAAGTTAGCTTTAGGGTTGAAAAATAGTATAGTTTATACTAAAAATTTAAAAAAAAATATTTTTTAAAATTTCAAAATCTGTAGAATTTTGAAATATTTAACACACATATATACGTATACGGTTTATTTAAAATGCACCATTGGTGTTGAACATCATAGGTAGGATGTTAAAATTACGGTAATTTACGTAATTTACGTAATTTTGTGTAATTTTGCGTAAGATTCGGTAAATTAAAAATTTCATGTAATTGTAATTTTGAACACATGACATTAAATTTCTGAGTTACAATTCGGCAATAATGCTGGTCAAACTTTTTGTAAATCTGGTAATTAAGTATGACGTGTGAAAAATTACATAAATTTGGTTCCTGAAACTTGTAATACGTATAAAATTGTAATTTATGTAACACATCTATACATGTTGGCAAAATCTTGACTTACTATAGTTTGGGATTTGTCCGCCATCCCAAATCCCAAATCCCAAATTCTAGAATAACTAATATCTTAAAAACTTTATTAATAATCTTTATTTAAACAAATTATATATATTCTTATAGTTATAAATAATATATTTATAAAATATTAAGATTATTTATTTAATTGTATCTTTTATAAATAGCAATTGTTTTTTTATTATTTAGAATTTGTCCGGGTTTTGCAAGTATAAACACATCCCTAATCTTAGTGTGCTATATTTCCCCGTGATCTGTAGAAGTTTTGGCCAGCATTACAAAATTGCTTACTAATTTCCGGCCGGAATTAACTTTTTGATTTTTTTTCATTACAAAATAAAAAATAAGCCCGCACTATAGTAAAATTGGCCCAGGATAATTTTCACTAGTGCTCACCAAAATCAAATAAAAATTTGACAATCAAATACTTAATAAATATTTGACGATCATAATTTCCAAATCAGGTAATGCATAATCTCAATCTAAATTTAAACTTTGCATATCTGATATTGATATGATCATTATTATTTGTATGTATTACTAGATTCTCTTCTTACAAAATACAAAGCTTAAGATCCTATTTTATGGTTCTATCACAAAATCCTGAAACCTGGTTTCCTGAAAAAATATAATACTGACCAAATTAGCCAATATTATAACTAATGTTGGCTAACTTTGTCTCTTTGGGAATCTGTTTTTTGTGATTTTGTGATAAAACAGTCCAGGAAATTTTATATTTGGCAATATATATGACCATAATGATTTCTATTCTAGAACATCAAAGATTATTGAATTATCAATTTTTTTATATTAATTTTACTGATTTTTTATAATTTTACTTATTGAATATTGTACAAAATCATTTTGGAATATATTGGGCAATTAGAAGAATACATAGTTTTGTGTATATAGTTTTATAATCAGCCAAAAATCAATCAAAGTCAACTCACCCTCAACACTTATAAGTAAGGCCTAAATATATGTTTCTTAAGTATAGCTCAAATTCTTTTTGAGTACAGAGCTTTTTTTTCTACTAAAAAAAGGTCTGATTCTATATAAGCAAAAGTATTTTAACGATCATTGTTCAACCCAAGATAAAATATATAGTAGCCTTTACAAATAATTGGCTCAAAAAAAAAAAAAAAAAAAAAGTAAGTACACTTTTTATAGCTACTTTTAACACTACATGGATTTTATTCATTTTATTTTCTCTAGGCAATACTATTTTTATTTTTGATTATATTTGCAGGAACATTAGCTATTTGTTTGTATAAGTCCCAGTTAATTTAGATTCAAATAGTTTAATGTTGTCATTTTGTAATAGTGAATAAGATTAAAAGTATTTTACTTACTATAAACTTATATTATATTAGTAAAATCTAATTAGCAACTACGAGAACTAGCAGCAAATCTGTCTTGTACTTTTGCTGAGTTGGTTAACTTGTACCATAATAGTGTTGAATTAAAAAAATATACAACTAAGATATCTACACAACATGCAGATTTTACAATATTTAAAAATCGGCTTCTAGTATATAATTTTTTTTTTTCTAAATTGGTTGAAATTCAGACGCATTTAGAAGACTATTCTATATATGAATAGCACTATAATCAACTCATAGCTTCTAATTATTTTTATTATCATCTTTTAAATTTAAATAGTCAGTAGCATAATACAAAACAGCAAGTTGAAAGTCATGATCTTAAAACTAAATTCGTCAAAAAGCAAACTTGTGAAATTGGCATTCAAGCTGAATTAGTTAGTAAACAGGTTAAAAAACAATTTTGTAAAGTTGGTGTTCAAATATCTGAATCTATAATTCAGAAACTTGAAAATTATATATATTTTCTTCAAGAGCAATTAAATAAAAAAATAAGTAAAATAGAAGATTTTAAAAAATACTTAAGCTATATATATAATTATATAATTGAGAGTTGGGAATGCGATCAAAAAATAAGTTAATTAAGTCAGGAGTTAATTGATCAAAATAATGATTTTTTATTAAAGTGGGAAAATCAATTTAATAGTCAAAAAAAAAGGATTAATTTGATTATTCAAATTGCAAATAAAGAATGTCAAAATGTTTATAATAATATTAATTCATTAATTTTAAATAAAGATCGATTTTCTCTTAATAATTTGTTAAATTTTATACCAAATCATTGGTTAGCTAATCATAACCTAGTTATCGTTAACTTTATTGAAGCTCTTACCCATAATAGTAATAACTCTACTTTAAAAAAAAGCTTTTCAAAAAAGTAGTTGTAGTTAATACAATTTATAGGTCAAGGTATAAGAATTATATATTAGAAATAAATCTAATCTTATTAGCAATTAAGTACTTATTAGCATAGTTCAAAACAATTGTTAATATTAACAATTATATTATTAGTTCTGGAAGTTATATAAAATTTATTAATTGGTTAGAGTTACTTGCAATTAAACAAGAGCCTATATCTGAAGGGCTATTATTTATAGCCTTCGATAATGAACAACGGGGTCAACACAATTATCTTGATCAAGGATATAATACTATAATTTATCATACAGTTACAAGTTTTGTCGCATTGAATATAGATAAAAAAAATTTAGTTCAATTTACAACAAATCCCTGGTGTTACAATTTATTAAATGAACTTCAATATAAAGAACTATATTATCTTACACCAGAAATGAAAACAGAATATAAATCGTAATTAAATACAGATTTGTTATCAATTTTAAATGAACTCATTGATGAAAAAAATAATAAATTAAATATAATTGACACAATAATAAATAATCAAAAAGGTGCTAGCAATCAATCAAAATAGTGTAAAAAATATAATACAACAAATATTGATAATTGAAAATGTACTTGTTCTAACTGCAATGAAAAGTTAAACACATTAGCTGTATTACGAGCAAAATCAACTAATAAGTCTGTTCAAATTAGTAATATAACCTTTTAATTAAAGCCTATCATAATAAAATCTAGTACATCTAGTACTTTTACTCACAAACAAAAAGCTTTGTCCTCTAAATATATTAGTATTACACAAAAACTTGAACCTAACCAAAATGTTGTTGTTCCAGAAATGTACATACTGAACCTATTAGGTCTAAACTCTAATTTGATAAATAATGTCAAAAAAGTTTTAGAGCATATACAAAGCATTACAAAAATAAACTAAAACAAGCAAAAATAGTTACTTGTTGTTTGTGATGAGGTTTCTTATAATCTTACTCAAAAAATAAAAAAAATTTTTCTTGATTAGTCTTAATTCCTGGAGCTTTACACGAAGAAATAAACATGCTTAAAGTATTTGTAAAATAGTGTTTCTATGAACCTGAACTAAACTGAACTTTGGTTAGATTCAGGTTCAG